CTTTGTGGCAGATGCTGGTCTCTGTGACCTTTTGTAACAGAAGGGTTCTTTTATCACTTGAGCTTTTGGTTTCATATTTCTCATCTGCTCCTTTCTGCCAGCTTAACTGAGAGTTTAAATCAAACCCTAATTAGACTACATATGCTGTTTAGGAAAAAGCTCTTGAAAAAGTCATGATTCATATAAGCTTTGATATTTCCAGAAAAATGAGAATTAATGTAATTTTAATTGTTTTAAATTACTTTCACTCATCCTCTTACTCAAATAATAAAAGTTGAACATAGCTCTTTGATCAAAAAAAAAAAAAAATTCTAGGAACATAAGCACCAGCTCTATATTCCAATCAGCTATATAATCTATGTTTAATGATGAAACCCTTTATCGATATTCATGCTTTTCAGTTAAGGAGTATTAAAACTCAGCTATTTTCTTGCATATTTCTGATATCAATATCATAAACCTAAATATAAAAAAGAAAATTTTGAATATTTTTGGTTTTTACTTTGATATTTTACTTTGATATAATAGGAAAACAGAATGATAGATGCTATTTCAACTGTAATGAACTTACCTGAATTACATATTTCAGTATGTTATCTATCACTAAGGAAGGTCATATTTTAAACATTTTTAACTTTCACTGCATAAAGGAGGCTGTGTCTGAAAATGGTAGCTGATAACATGTTCAAACACTGTGAACATTAATAAACACATTTGCAAAGAAAGCCTTGACCTCAGATACTTTTCGCTAAGACATTGGCTGTATCTCTAAAAAAACAAATATTAAAAACCTTTACGTTTGTATGCCCTACTTAGTTATTTGACCCAGTTCATACTCAGAAGTAGCCAGAATCTTCCTTTATTACAGAAAGTGATTGCCTGCTGACTTAAGAATAAGAACTTGAGTATTTCCCCTGATAGAAAGCTGATAAGTTATTATGAGGAACTGTGTCTTCTAACCTCAAGCCAATACAATTCTCTGCTGTGTTAATTGTTTGAATATCATCCTGTCTCATGCAGACTACAATAACGATATTTTGAACACCAAGAATCTATAGATATTACCAAGAACAATCTCTGTGAACGTTACTACTACTTAAAAATACAAAAAAGTAAAATTTTATTTAAAAAATTAAATTTTAAAAGCTGAAAAATAGACCCAAATTCTGTTACTTCATTACTTCCATGGCTCGATAAAGCTGCATTAATATACATGGCCTGGTTGGATATATAATGCATCCCAATAAATATTTGTCTTAATTATATTTATTATTTAGTCATTATTGACATGTAATTTTCAATGCATGGAAAAAATTAAATAAATATATCAGACTTTTTTTTTTTTGTGGAATCAATCCAAGAATTATTTACAATGAGATAAAACTGATATCCAGAACTTCGAAAACAACATATAAAGTCTAGCAACATCTCAACAATATAGTGTGTATATGCACATCCATTGATACTATCAAAAATAAATATCAATTTCCAAAATACTCTGAAATTCAAAATTCTCAGCATCTTCTGTAAAATTTCCAAAAATCTCAGTGCACTTCAATATGAAGTTTAAGAGTATGACATACTAAAAATTATAGAAAGGCTTTTTTTTAAAGTATACTTCTGTATTAAAATCGAAATCAAAACTCACCATATGAAAAGCTGAATGTAGACTGATAACTAAAACAACTCCTGAATGTGAATAAATTTCTACAATACAAAACAGTTTGTTTACAATAGTCTTCAGAGACTAGGAGGCATGTAGTGGAACACAGAACATTTTGAAAGTAATATTGATTTTCTTGTTTCAGGTAAAGAAATGAAAATATAAAGTTTATGTTTTACACAAATGCATCAAAATTATTTTGATATATACTCTTTATTATAACACATAGTACTTTCTTTTGAGACATAACTAACAGGACTGAGAGTAATACCCCCATAATTTTCACTCTTTAATTTGAGAATTAACAGTTTCCGGGCTGGGGAGGGAAGGGAGGAGGGCTGTTAGTTTGAGTGATATTCAGAGTAGCATGTATTGATTTTGTCATCAGCTATAATTGGTCAACTGGATGAAAAGGTCTCTTCTATTCTGAATGAAGCAGCCCTCCCAGGATACTAAAGATCTCTTAAATATAAGTAGATTATTTAACAAGTCTTTTATTGTACTAAGCTAGTGCTTACATATATGATTATGGAGTAATGTCAATATTTTTAGCTTTTTGTTTAATATACAATGAAAAGCATTTCAGCACAGAAACTAATTAAATGATATGTATCTAAAAAGCATAGTTAAGACATCAAGTTCTTATTTTCAGGCCGTATATTAAATGTTAATTCTTAAGCTAAGAAGTATTTGGATGTCCAATGCTCAAAATATTAGTATCTACGTACATAGATAGAGTTTAATAAATGAAAGATGTATAAAGCACCAGAAAATGCAGTAAGATATTGTAATGTTCATTCTATTGCACACCGACTATGCACCGCAAATTTTCTAGTTTCATCAGTACACGCTTCAGGGTAGATCGCGTAGAAGCATATTAACATACATCGTTACTGGAATGCTGAAACTGCCAAATGTTTAGAGTTATCAGATATCTGAATGAATCAAAACGCTCTCAGAGGTAGAAACGCATGAAGCCGAGGAGCACATGTGGAAGAGTTATTTCTCTGCAGTGTGGTCGGCTATGTCAACAGAGCGCTGCGCGCGTTGCCTTGCAGCACCTTGGACAGCAGTAGCCCCTTGCTAGAGCCACCCGCCTTGCCCCTGCTGAGCACCGCCAGCCCCGACTCCTCACTTCCCCACCATAGACCTCCCTGTCTGTGCAGTGGGGCAGACCAGTCGCATTGGAGGTTTTCAGAAAGGGGAGGGGGGGGGGGGAGGGGGCACTAAGTTGAACCCAGTTCTCCCTGCTGTCATATTTTTAACACAGACTGGTTGGCCGAATTCTCAAAACATTGTATGATAGCGTCAGTAAACAGGTCCAGCACTTGGAACTGAAGAACTACAGGACATGAACTACAGGACATGTGCATTGCATTTGTTTTGTTTGTTTATACAGTCAATGCAATCATTTAATGATAACTTTCCCCCATCAGCAGAAATATCAGAAGTATTTCTCCTTATTCAGTCCCTGAAGAGGAATTAATTATATAGTGTACATTTGCTGTTCTGTACATTTTCACCAGCTTTTATGCAACGATGTTGTAGAGCAATGACAAACTTTGTGGTAAAGTTCAGTCAGACTAAACTGTGATATAAAGAAATTACCTTAAGAATGCAGATGTTGATTGTTTGGCAGCACTGAGCAGCAGGTCAACTTCTAGATTAAGAAGTTACTGGAATGGCAAACATATCTTTACACCAGTGGACATAGATTTATATTTGCTTTTTTTTGCATCCAAATCCCTCAGTTTGGAGATTTATTTATTTACATTATCAGTAACTGAGCACATAAAATAGATGCGATGAGTATGTACACACACACAGTTTATATCCTGGAAACACTGGATCCAAAAATGAATGAGAGCACTTTGGTCGAACCTAACAAGGAAAAAAATGATGGTAACTTTCCCATTCTATTCAATGAGACAACAAGGCTATCTAACTTCTAGCAAGACTGAGGACTGATTTTTGAGGTAGAATAGGTGTGAATTATATCAGCTTCTCAGATAACAGGATTCTTTAGGCACCAAGTGATTTCAGTAGGCCCTACTGAAGTTACAAAGCATTAAGGTATCACTAGGCCTTCTGTTTAGCTGGGTGATTCGTATGCACTATTGTGTTCCACCGGCAAAACAGGATTTAGTTCAGATGGGTTAATGTAACGCTAAAGTAGTTGAGACAATCCACTTCAGGGCAGACACCATTCACCTGGCCTCACTCTCAATAAATACGCAAACAAATGAGAGTAAAAAAAAAAACTTGCTGCTTGTTGTTTTGTGTTTGGGGTTTTTTTGTTTGTTCGGTTGGGCTTTTTTTTTTAGGTACCAAATACAACACTTTTTCTGCCTTTTTCTGTCTTGAGAGCTGGGCCAACTAATCTTGTGCAAAAGTTGGGAGAAGACAACAACTACAACGAGCCAGCGTGGGAGCCTTCTAATCTTCTAATAAAGGAGAAAAAAAAAAAACACTCTTTGAATCTCTCTGAATGGTCACCGGTGACACGCAAAGAAAAACGCCGAGGCTTATTGAAATGCTGTCATCACTACTTCCCAACCAGAGCACACCGCAGCGTCTGCACACATCCGACCCTCTTCCTCGAGCTCTTCCCAGCTCCGCAGACTTCGGCAGCGCACGCTGAAGACACGGTCCTGCTCCCCCTTCTCCCTCCCCGCACGGCCGAGGCCGCCAG